GATACTAGTATATATAATAATTAGTTTATTAAACCCGTCAAAACTTATATTACAATATTATATATAGGTATATATATTATAATAAATATAGATTATAGATTTTAACTGTAAGAGGTCTTGGTCTCGTGTACGTTGATTTTCGGTATAATCTTAATAAGCCAAATACTTCTAAATTAAAAAAAATTATTAATTGTTAGCTTTTTTTGATAACAAAAAAGTTTTAAAAAAATCTTTGAAACAGTTATCTATAAGCAAAAAAGTAAAATAAACAAGTTTACTTAAAGCTACAAAAATTAGTGAAATTTGCAGTTTTTTAGAAAAAGTTTGATAAAAAGAATGCTGCGATTAATTCTAATTATATATTGTAAAATTGTTTTTACCATTACGGACTAATGTTTAGAGAAGATTATCAATGAAAATAAAAATGCATCTAAAGATCATATGTTCTATCGTGATGATAAACAAAAATGCAATAAAATTAAGCATGCTGCTGTATATTTTAAGACATGATTTTGACTTATGTATTACCACAATTATCATTATTATACGCATTGATCTTATTTCCTCGACTTAATTTTTTCTTACTGAGTATGGACGTTATTGCTTTTCTGAAGCTTGTATTTTTCACGCAGTTATATCAGTCAAGGCTGTTACTCTTTACTTACAAATTCTGGAAGGCTATTCTAGGAATCTACACAAGTACAACCGAACTTTTTCGGATTTGTGCAAACGCTGCCGACGAAGCAGGGCTTACAGCTGATTGGTATCAAAGTGAACCCACTGAAGAAGAGACTGATTCCATTGACAGCGATCGCTCTCCCTTGTTAAATAGAGAACTTTTGAGAGATGCCCATGTATCAGTTGATTCTGTTTATTCTGTTGGTACGGGGAACAATGAAAGCCTTGTTTTTATTTACATGTATTCTAATATAACTATCATACATTATATTAATATAGACCGATCCATTCTTTATTCGAGCAAACTAGTGGTATTGATCTTATTCTTTATACATTCTTGCCTTTCTTATCATAAGCTCATAATTTTCATAATTTTTTTCTACTTTTTGATTGATTTCAAATATTAGATGGAGCGTCGTGCATTAGAGTCTTTAGAGTGTGATCTCGATGAAATCACGCAAACAATCCTTTATAAGAAAGGTTTCCCTGAAAACGGCTCCATAAAAACGTATGTATTCTTTCTTTCTCTATAAGTCACCTAACAATTATCTGATCTGTTGTTATATTTAAGCCCTTCTGCAATTGTTTTGCATTATTGCTTGACTCAAATTCGTGCTTCCTACAATCTTGCAAATGAGATTAACGATCGTGCAACAACAAAGTTCGATTCGAATAATAAATTGCACGAGAAAAAGTTGTTGGAGGTTTGCTATCTCGTTTTCATTAACGTTTATAATATTCAAAATTCTCAAATATTTACCCATTGATTATATTATTAAAAGTTGTCATTTTTTTCTATATATAATTAATTTTAGCTATGGAATCTACTAATGCCAAATGAACAATTGGAAGGTCGTTATAGCGAACAATGGACTAAAGTATATATTCTTATAGTTCGTAAATAACTAAGTAAAGATCCTGCTCTTAAAGATTTTATATTATGCAACCAATAGATCGGGTTTCAGGGCAAAGATCCTGCGACAGATTTTCGTGGCATGGGTAATAATCAAAACTAATATACTTTATGATTGCTAACTCTTAACGTGCGATTATTGACTTAAATATTTGATCCGCAATGCTCAGGGATGCTCGGTCTAGATGATTTAGTTTACTATGCTAAAAATTACCCGGAATCTGCACATGATGCGCTGGACTCTTCTCGCAATAATAGTTCATGGTCTCCCTGTTATTCAACTTTATTTAATGACTTTGATTCTTATTTATTTGATATTTAGTGCTTACTTAACATACATAATGATGCTATAGGCGTCCATTTGCCACCGTGGGGATTAATATTACACACTTTGCTGTTCAAACTCTCCGTACCCGTCAACTTCAGTATTTTTTGTTTAAATATGGTTCTACAAAGGACATTTATCATGAATTTTACTGTAAGTAATAAATCATTTTATTATTTGTTTATTAGCATTATTATCTGATTTGTTTGATTGGATTCAAATACTTGTGTATAAACGTCTAAAATCAATTGCTCTTGTATATCAGGTTATCTATTTCACTCCTTTAATAAATTCTGGATTTCACATGATCAATCTACAATAACTATAATGGACTTTGAGAAAATTTTTAATCAATTCAAAAAAAATATCATACAAGAATTATTAGATCGGAAATCAATGGTATTGGATAGTTCAAAAGATATGTTTATTCACTATGAGAAAGCCAAATAAGGTACTTTGTTCAGTAAACGTTGATCTCAACTATTCTTTCATGCGACTTATCGTAAAGAGATTCTTTATCGCTTACTAATTTTAAATGTTAAATCCTTTGAATGAATTATATTTAATATTAATAATCAACTTGATTTAAATATGAATGTAATGTAATTAATATAATATTTAATAAGGCATAAAGAATTATATAGATCATTGCATAATAGAAATTCATTTAATTCATTCGATGTTAAAGCATAAATTTATGCGTGAAAAATATTCAATTTCTTCATATTATTGTACATTGACTTTTAGTATCAAGCTTGTAAATTGATATTACAAAGTAACCTTTCTAAGTGCACTCTTTAATGCACTACCTTCCCAAATGCACAAGTTCTAGCTAAATATGCAATTGACTTCTTTAGGTGCATTTTTTCTTATTGTTCTTTATGTGCTTGTTGAAAGTTCGGGCTCTATTGGTTGCATTTTATAGGTACAGACTTATGGTCGCGGCGTAACTGACTTTTACGTCACCTGACGTAACTCAAGGACATGACGAAAGTAACAGTAATCTTGAGCACATGTCGTTAGGCTGTTCGTTTAGGGTGTATCCTACCGGTCAACTACATAGTGCAGATGATACAGTGGTGACCAAAATTCAGCAGATCGACCAAAATTTAGGGTCGGAATAGGCCGGAATTGATAAATTTCTCCCAAAATTTTACTAATAAAATGGCAGCCTACCGCTAGTACTAAGTAAAGCTGCCCAGATGATAATTTTGCTGTAGTATAGTTGGCTGGTATTATTGCTTAATACCGGGCTTAAATTTTGGTCGATCTGCCGAATTTTGGTTGCTCCACCAATATCAGGATACGTACGATATTAATTTTTCAATTTTTTATATATTAATAAACATATAAAACAATTTTTTGAGAACATTAAAATTAGTTTGAATTTCAAACACTGCACGTCATGCCACAGTTTTGTGAACTGAATTAGACTGAATGTATCCGATACTGAAATCCCGATCTCATAAAATAAATAACTTACACAGGTTGAAATAAAGCATATCATATAAATATCAGAAATATTGATTACTGCTAATGTCATGACAATAACAGATGCATATCGGAAGCTAACAGGGTATTAGTGAGTTGATCATGTATATGTATCTGAAGGTATAAGGATATGATATTTTAACCTGTATGATGGTTTATGCTATTTGCAATTTATTTTTTGGTTTATAACCGTTCTTTATATCTGCTAGCATGTAAGTTTATTAAAAGCAATTAAAAATTCAGAATCATCAAGAAATAGATATATCAACCGTAAAAAGTTCATATACAAGACCCGGGTCTGGTACATTCCACCAATTTTTTAAACCCCTTTAGTAGACCCGGGGTCTAGTAGCCTATAACGTGAAAAAAAAAATTTTAAAGTGCTTACACACCTTGCATTTATAATAGGCATTCTGGCTATTGGAAAAAAAACCGCATTTAATTAATAAAGATTCCGTGGTTCACGCCCGGGTCTAATTCATGGTGGGTCTACTATTTTGGGGGATCTTGTATACGGTAATTGCTTAGTTCAATATTTAAAATGAAATATATTGTAAAGTTTATATTAATGTTAACTTGTTATACATAATTAACTAATTAATTGAATAATCGAATTATCGATTAGTTGATGTTCAAAAAAGCTCAATTGATTAGTTGTCAACTAATCAACTAATGATTTCAACTCTGACTATACTATAAAGAATGTTACTTATGTATTGTTGCACATGTGGTTTGAATTTATTAAGAAATTTTATTCTTTGAAAACCTCAACATTACTTTTAATTAAGCATGAACTTGTCAACTTTTCAGATCAGGAATACACAAGATACCCACCTTTCATTCTGCTATCCAAGATTTTAAAAAGTGTCATCCAGAAAAAAAGTAAATGAAACCTGCGTGGTTAGTGATGTACCGGATCACACCAAATGGATTTAGAGTTCTATCTCAAATGATACAGTAGTTGAAATGATCAATTAAACAAAACTAATTAGCAGATTGTGAATGAATAAGCTTGGTCTAAATGCAAATTTATGAAAAATAATTTGTAGTTTTGAAATATTGTTTTTTTTTTCCTATCCCCATTACTAATTCGATAAAATATAGCAACTACGAAGTAATATAATCTAGGAAATAATAATTTATATATTGTCTAAAGTGAGAACTAAGAAAAAGAGAAAATGTAAATCCATACAGATGATCTAGTTTGGAATTCTTACTAGGACCTAAGAGACTTTCTCACTATTTGAAATACTTCATATTCACTCGCAAAAAATACGTAGTTACCCGGGCTTATGTGATTTTCGTAATTTCCTCGCAAGCATCGGGCTTCCCAATGTTCATCCCCATTGCCTATTAAAGCTAAATCTGAACCAAAGCACGGACCATAATCTACGCATTGAAAAATGGCTTGCTTCGTTTCCCTCACTTTACTATATATTATGTTGTTAAATTGTTCGTTTCCAAGTGAAAAAATAAAGCTCTTCCTTGTCTTGTTAAAAACCCCATCTGCATGGGCTTCCCAATTTAAAGGATTAAAACCTCCAAGAAGCTCACCTAATTTAGATCATTGCATAAGTTAATACAAAGACTAATCTAAAAAGCAATTGCAACATCAAGAAATTTACCAGAGTGATGAACTTTTAAGATTGTAACACTTGGGCCCTTCAAATCGCACTTCTCATGAAAAATTTTTGGGCCAAATCCATCACGACTTCCACGGACAAGTAAATTAAATTCAAAAGGAATAGTGTGAGGTTGAATGTTACTATCATTAACTATCCAGCCACAAATTAAAGCAGCCTGTTTGATTGTAATCAACTTTGAATTAATGCCCTGACTACAAGTTTGAAATAAAGTGGCAGTTGCTGTGTTTAGTTGAGAAAGATGATGTTCCCAAAGTTGTGCAAAAGAATCATTGCTAAATGATTGTTTAAAAGGACGAACTTTCTTGTCGAATTCGCTAGGACTAATTAGAGCAAAATTGATATGTGGAATAAAAGGTGAAACAATATTTCCGAAAGTGTTGAAATCATCGAAAGTCCATAAATCAATATCCTTTGAAAGTGATATGTTTTGGGCTATTGACCATTCAACCAACTTTTCCCACAACTCTATTTCTCGCATGATAAGAAATTTCTTTTTAAGAATTGATATTAGAGTGCTTTGATCTATGTTGATGAAATCTTCAGCTTCAAAAACTATAGACGGATCTTGTTCCATGGTATTGATACAAAATGCTAGTAACTTTTTAAATTGGCCATGTTGTGTAGCAAAATGATATACTAATGCAAAATGATTCAGCAAGTCTTCTGGATTATTAAGAATATGATCTTCAATATAGTCAAATAACTCGGTCAAACATAGTTCTTCAGCAGCCGTGAGAACGTCAATATTAAATTCTACATCCTTTTCTGGTAGATCGATCGAAGCACCATATATATACCTAAGAAAACCATTATGTTAGGCTTAGAAACTAAAAATACATAAAAACTTCAAGGATTAAGACATTATAAACAGTACTTTAATATTATTTCAAATACACTCGGAGATACGTTTGGTTTGTTAAAGATCAGTATATTGCCATCAGATTTAGCCCAATTACTTGATAAAGCCGCTCGGAAATACGTTGATCGAGCACGTAACACGAGAGAATGTACCTTAAATTCTCTGGTATCAAGTTCTTGGCCAGCATGAATGATCATATCAAAATGGTCACCAGATTCTAAAAGTGAGGTATAATGGCGAGACAAGATATTTAAAAAAACTGTTGACATTATGGTATAACGTTCAAGAAAATCAAGAGAGAAAATTTTTGGTGAGGCTGTAACATGATATACAACTTATGTAATTTATATGAATAATAATTGGTGCCGATTAAGACCACGTGTTCCATAACATAAGCCAATATTCATCTGCAACACAAATTTACATACATGAACTTATTATCGTAATGTAGTTATCCGTTACTGTGACGCACATAATTCATCTGCTCTCAAAAAAAGAAATGTAGGTATCAGGTATAACAGGCGATCGACATTTCAAGGGTAAATTTTTAATATGAAGTCAAATGACTGACGCACCTAAATTTTATAAGTAAAATTTAGGCAAAATTTGCTTTCTAAGCTTATTTAGCAATAAAGAAGTTGTTAGTTTAATTTCTGGGTATCATTTTGCAAATTCTCTAGCATTTGAAGAATCTTCTCATAAAA